AAGCGCGACCCAAGCCGGAGACACCGCCGGCCTCTGGGTTGCAGAGAGTTTAGGGTTTAGGGTTTAGGGTTTTGGGCTCAGGGGTTTAGGGTTTCGGGTTTAGGGTTTAGGGCTTAGGGCTTCGGGCTTCGGGTTTAGACCTTATATGGTCTAAGGTGAAACGCAGGAATTCAAAATCCGGAAGATCCGATCAGAAGCGAAGGCCCTCCCCACCCAACCCCCGCAAACCAAAGCCTTTAGGGTTTAGGGCTTAGGGTTTAGGGTTTAGGGTTTAGGAGCCTAAAAGTACCCATACTATTTTTGATTTTTGAGGTTCTTTGTTATAGTTATAGTAGAATATACCCCAAAAGCCCCTATAATAAACCCTGGACCTGAGCCGACATTCAAGAACAGAGCTGCATCGACGCCTCCTCTTCGAGCTGAACCCAGTCGTGCCGGCGCGAGAGGTAGTCGGATGCCTTTGACGGTGAACCCTGAATCAGAAGCCCTCTCTGTAAGGGCTTTGGGCTTAGGGCTTGGGTTTAGGGTTTAGGGTTTAGGGTTTCGGGTTTGGCAGGTTGAGCGGCCTAGGGTTTTGGGCTACGTGCCAAATGGTTGAGATGGTCGAAATCACTTCACTCAAGGCTACCACACTTATACAAACCCTACCCTAAAATCCGCAAGCCTTCTAAACTCTACACGCCTAACTCGTGGACCCTCAACCCTAAACCCGAAACTCATAAACGCAAAACCTTAAAACCCTCAACCCTGAACCCTTATTATGCCTCATGAACCCGGATCAGCCCCGGATTCTTTCAACTTTGAGTATCCGCTGTGCCTCAACGACGCCGTTGCTGGGCCGAAGCACCATTCGCTCAGTGCTTTCCTTGAGGGCTTCAGGGTTTTAGGGTTTAGGGTTATGGCTTGAGGGTTTTTACAGAGCTTGCAGTGTCCACGGTTTGGGGCTTACACCGTGTACTGTATAAGGGTCTTGCTCAAGCTTTACAGGGGTCTTATAAGGGTTGGAGCTTCGGACCAGGTTTCAGGGTTTGGGGATTAGGGTTTCTCTAGGGATGCTGGTAAACTTTCAAAGAATTTGATGATGCTTGACATACTCTATGAGCGTTATGAGATTTCTTGTTTAGGGTTGAGATGTGTCCGACGAGACTACTCATGATCTCTAATAATGTGGAGGCCTTAACCATTGGAATGGGTCTTTTGAGGCGATTTCATTGTGTGTATATAGAGGCTTCCAGAGAATAACATTCCCAAGCTTTCAAGCAATCTAGACCCTAGGGGCTTGTGCAGAAGCATGTTGGTGATGACCTTAAGCCGCTTAAGCCCAAAACCCAAGGCCCCTAACCACTGACCCCAAGCCCTTAACCCCTCGCATTTGCCTAAACCCCAAACCCGAAACCCCAAACCCTAAAACCCTAAACCCTCCAACAAACCCCAAACCAACCCTAAACCTTCAAAAAAAAAACCCAACCCCAACCCTTAAACCCTAAACCCTCACAAAACCCTAAAACCCTAAGCCCAAACCACAAAAACCCTAAACCCTAAAACCCTAAACCCCAACCCTAAAACCCTAAACCCCAACCCTAAAACCCTAAACCCGAACCCTAAAAAACCCTGGCAGGCAGGCATCGCAGACGAGGCCGCCAGTGTCTTCGGCCACCGCACGAAGAAGGTCCATAAGCTGCCGGTCCACCAAGAGCGAAACCTGTGCAACAGGAATGTCTAGGGGTTTAGGGTTTAGGGGTTTAGGGTTTGGGGTTTTAGGGTTTAGGGTTTAGGTTTAGGAGTCTAGGAATGTTTAGGATTTAGGGTTTGAGGGTTTAGGAGTCTAGGTTTAGGGTTTGAGGTTCAGGGTTCAGCGTGTATCGCGTCGTCGAGTTTAGGGCAGTTGAGGGAAGTCTATAGGGTTCAGAGACAGAGTGTACAAAGGATGATTCAGGATGCAGTGTGCCCTAAACCCTAAACCCTAAACCCTAAACCCTAAACCCTACACCCTAAACCCGAAACCCCGTGGTAATCAGTTCTCGAAATGTGATCGAGCCTATGATCAAAAACAAAGAAACCTGCACCACCGGAGAAGGCCCGGAACATCAATCCTACCCCTACACCATAAGCCCTAAAGCCCTAAGCCCTAAACCCTAGACCCTAGACCCTAGACCCTAGGCCCTAAACCCTAAACCCTAAACCCTAAACCCTAAACCCTAAGCCCTAAACCCTAAACCCTAAACCCTAAACCCAAAGCCCTAAACCCCCAACCCTTGCACCCCGATGCCCTCAACACTAAAGCCTTCCGGCCACGGGGCCAGTTGCAAGCCTTTCTCGCTTACCCAGAGCCTAGATGGATTTAGAGTTTAGGGCTTAGGGTTTAGGGTTTAGGGTTAGTACATTATGTTGGATAACCTGGCTTATGGGTAGGATCCTATACTAGAATTACTATAATAAGGTCGTGACCAAAAAGATACTACCTTCTATGGTCGAGGTAATATGTCTAATTGGAGGTCCCCGTCCAACAGTACTCCCGGTAGCGTGTTATACAAAGCTACTGAGTGTTTCAGGAGACCATCAAATGCAGATTGTTGTAGGGTTCAGGTTAAAGTAGTCCCTAAAGAAGTACTTTGGGGCCAAAAGTATATACCATTTGGGTATATGGACCCTTAGGCTGAGGGTTCACTAGTCAGGGCGTGGTGTTCTTTTCGTGGTTCAGTGACCCAGGTCGAGCCTGCAGCTGACAGGCCTTCACGACGGCGTGCCGAAGGACCTAAGAGGACTGAGACGAGCTTAATGGCTCTTCATGTAGAGATACAAGGAAGAGGTGCAGAAGATACTTTACAGCCATGTGACGGTGCGTTCTTTCTGTCTCAACCGGTATTCAGGGCTTCGGCTGTAGAGTCTGGGGTTGTAGGCTGTCTGGGTTACGGTGTGTAGGGTAAGGGTGGAAACAGCATCCAACGATCTCAATGCCTTCTATAATGGTTATTGGCATTGCTAGTATTATTATTGTTATTATTATTAGTAGTATGATTCGTATGGTTATTATAGATATCCATGTGTTTGTTTGAATTATTATTATGATGTTGATTTGCATTAATTATTATGGTTATCATTCACGGTATGATGTTGCTCACCGGGCCGGATCAGCCGCACCATCGAGCTCTACCCCGTCACTTGACCTGCAGGATAACAACATGAAACTGAAGCGATCGCTCAACCCAAAGCCCCGTGGAGTTATAGGCTACCGGGAAACCGGCATAGTCTACCTTCTCAATAAGTATCAATACCATTTTTGGTACCTTCTCAATAAGTATCAATACCATTTTGGGGGGCTCCATATTATAAGTCTGGTATGATGGGCCCCAAAACCCCTACTCTAAGCCTTAAGGTGATTACACCCTGGGAGTCGACTCTACTGGGGCCCCTTCACCCTCAGCCTTACCCAAAGACAGCAGAATTTCGGGGCCACAGTCGGGTCTCCCCAGTAAACATGGGATTCAGTACATGCCCGGGGGTGTAGACTGCATCTGCGCAGTGGGCCGGCAGAATTTGTAACAGAGTTTCCGTTAAAGTCCCTATATGAAAGATGCACAGTATATATGGACCAACCCCTCGCCCTCTTATTGTTAGGGTCTCTATGCAAAAAATCAGTAGTCCTGTGGATGGATAACAGTATGTACGAGTCTTCGTGGCTGGGCTCGCGACGTGGGGTAGCCAATTGCGGCCCAATCCGTTTTGCACAGCCTCACAAGCAGGCATCTTAGACCCTAAACCCTAAACCCTAAACCCTAAACCCTAAACCCTAAACCGAACAGAACCTATGCAGGCGTTTTCCGTGGATCTTGCATATGCCAGGCCCCTGACGGCCTTGAAGTCGAGCTACCAAACTGAACCTTAATAACTGGAATAGGGTTTAGGGTTTAGGGTTTAGGGTTTAGGGTTTAGGGTTTAGGGGTATACTACGCTTTAAATGTAGCAACGAACCTAAAGGAATGGTACTACCCATCCGTATTTCCTAGCGGAAAACGTGAGTCTAGGAGTATAGTTCATGACTGTAAGGTCGAAGTATTCTGAGCCAATGATCCGTTGGGGTGCGGCCTCATAGACAACCTCTTAAACGACAGTACCCACAGGCCCCATAGTAGTTCCTTTTTGGGGTTACCTTATAGGGTTCTATAGATGAACCCCAAAAAGGAACTACTTTAGGGGTATAGGTAGGGCCTAAACCCTAAACCCTAAATCCTAAACCCTAAACCCTAAACCTTAAACCCTAAACCCTAAACCCTAAACCCTAAACCCTAATATTCCTCATAGGGAAGATGGAAGTTAGGGCTTCTCATCGATCGAACTCTGCACGAGAGACTTCAGACCCAAAGCCCAAAGGCCAACAAATCCATGTGCGTTTAGGGTTAGGGTTTAGGGCTTAGGGCTTTTGGCTTAGGGTTTAGGGTTTAGGGTTATAGGGCTTAGGGTAGCCCTAGAACAAACGAAGACTCAAGAGTATACACTAAGTCGTATAAGGACCTCGAACCCGGCTATATACCCTGAACCCCAGCCCCCTGCATGCGAACCACAAGCCTAACTCAAGAAACACGTAACGGAGCCCAGACGCCGAGATAGAGAAAGTTCCAAAGTCAGGCACTACAATGTCAGAACATGTTCCAGCACCCCCCAACTACCCTCTATTATACCCTAAATAAGGACCATAAGGGCTCTTTTAAAGGTACTTGGGGGGGTGCTGCTTAGAACCACACGACATCCCAGACCCCCAATGCCTTTCAACCGACCCACAGCGAAAACCCTCAACTCAGAATCCACCTGACAAAACCAACAAAACAAGCTCTGGGAAGTACCCGCAACTCAAACCCTATCAGAAAGCCTAAACCCTAAACCATTGAGACCCCTGAGCCGGAAATCTCCTAGGTATCAGAAACCCAAAATCTTATTGGAAAGCCTAAACCCTAAACCTAAACCATTGAGAACCCTGACACCGAAATCTCTTAAGTGCCAGAAACCCTAAACCCAAAATCTTGTTGGAAAGCCTGAAACCCTGAACCCTAAACCCAAAATCTTTTTGGAAACCCCACACCAAATTAAACCTGAACCCTAAACCCCCAAAACCAGCCCTAAACCCCGAAACTCTAAACCCTAAACCCCAAAAACCGCTAAACCCCGAAACTCTAAACCCTAAACCCTAAACCCTGAGTTTTAAACCCCAAAGAGGGAGCAAGAGCCTCGAAGTCGCCATGCAGGCCCTCGCCATGCAAGCTTTCGGGGGTATCAGGTTTACCCTATGGTCTTTCACGGTTTGGGGTTTAGGGCTCAGGGCTTAGGGTTTAGGTGTATCAGGTTTACCCTGGTCTTTTTACGGCTTGGGGTTTAGGGCCTAGGGTTTAGGGCCTAGGTGTATCAGGTTTACCCTGGTCTTTCACGGTTTAGGGTTTAGGGCTTGGGGTTTTGGGGTTTTGGGGTTTAGGGTTTAGGGTTTTGGGTTTTGGGCTTAGGGTTTTGGGGTTTTGGGCTGCATGTGCCTATCAGAGTTCGAAAGAAAAGTTCTTCAAGGGCTCTACGAGGGTTCTGCAAAGGTCTCCTACGTTCCATGTACCCAAAGAGGTCCGTATATGGCAAGAGCCAGTGTGCGTCTGCATATGGGTACGTACATTCATGGGCCCTTACAACAAGGGTCCATGTGCCCAACTAGTATATACTTTGGCCCCAAAGTACTTATATAGGGACTACTTAAACCCTAAACCCTGAACCCTAAACCCTAAACCCTACATGGACCCTTGGGGTTAGTTTGAGAAGGCTGTGGTGGATCCGTCTTTTGGAGTTGGAAGAGCTTAGGGCCAGTTTCGGGTGCTTCATGGCGGCAGGGTGGTGGGTTTGGAGCTAGGATTAAGGGTTTAGGGTTTAGGGTTAAGGGCTTGGGGCTTAGGGTTTAGGGCTTAGGGTTTAGGGTTTAGGGCTTAGGGCTTAGGGTTTAGGGTTTAGGGCTTAGGGTTATGTCTTCATAGATTGGTTCTATGGGTTAGGTGCCCAAAC